TAGCTTCAGAGAAACTTGACAAACACTATCTGAATCAAGTGAGCGACATTAATGGGAACAAGCACAAAGAATCAACAATAGGGATCTCATCTTATTTGTTTGTTTGTTTGTTTATTTATTTATTTATATGTACCAGGGATCGAACTCAGGTCCTTGAGCTAAATCCCTGGCCAGATCTCATCTTTTTAAAAAGCTTCTGCAGTGCCAGAGAAATCACAAGCAGAGATAAGAGTCAACCCACAATGTGGGAAAAAAAACTTTACCAGCTGTTCCTCAGACAAAGGTCTACTATCTAGAATATATAGAGAACTCAAAAAAATCATACCCCCCAAATATAAAACCCAATTCAAAAATGGGCACCTGAAATGAACAGACATTTCTTAGACAAAGAAGTAAAAGCAGCAAAGTATCATAGGAAAAATGTTCAACATCACTGGCCATTCAAGAGATGCTGATGAAAACAACACTGAGATTCCATCTCATCCCAGTAAGAATGGCTGCTTTCAAGAAATTAACCATTACAAATGCTGGCAGAATGGTGAGGAGAAAGGAACCCTTCTCCATTGTTGGTGGGAGTGCAGACTGGTGCCTCCACTGTGGAAATCAATATGGAGATACCTCAAACAACTAGGATTAGTCCCATTTGACCCAGCTATTCCTCTGTTGGGTATCTTCCCAAAAGAATTAAAAGAATCGCCAGGCATGGTGGCTCACACCTGTAATTCCAGCACTTGAGAGGCTGAGGCAGGAGGATCGCTGTGAGTTTGAGACCAGCCTGGACTACAGAGTGAGTTCCAGGTCAGTCTCAACTACATAGTGAGACCCTGTCTCAAAAAAGCAAAAAAAAAAGAATTAAAAGAATCATAGCGCAACAATATATGCACACCCATGTTCATAGCAGCACAGTTTATAATAGGTAAAATTTGGAAACAGCACAATTGCCCATCAACTGGAGACTAGACAAAGAAGATGTAGTTTTTTAAAAAAATAAAATAAAATGAAGTACTATTCAGCCATAAAGAAGGAGAAGCTAGAGAGATTTATAGCTAAGTGGATGCACATTGAGGCCATGCTCTTAAGTGAAATTAGTAAGTCACACATGTGTAAATACCAAATAATTTCTTGGGTGCAAAAAATAAGTGTAAATAAGGATCAAAATGTATAATTGATATTGTGTAATAGGAAGAAAAGTCTAAAAGAGTAGAGGAAGTGGGAGGGATAGGGGAAAGGGAAAACAAAAAATACATGAAAAGGAAAAACATGGAAACAATGTCTTTGTAAATAGGGAAAGGTGGAGGGGCTAAAGGGAGGGCTGGGGAATGGGGAAAAATAAGAGACAGATAAGTCACGTAGAGGTATAAGATCCCAATGATGAATGTAACTGTACTGTATACCTAAAATGTACCAATAAATTTAAAAGATTAAAAAATAAATAAAACAGGACCAGCTGTGTGTGTGTGTGTGTGTGTAAGCAGCGGAGGGGGTCTGGGGAAACATTACTAGATATTAAAGCATATTTTAAAGTTTTATAATTATACAATGTATAATTAGTGCATGAATAATCAGGCTAATAGAACAGAATGAAAAGTTCAGAAATAGATCCAGTGCATGTGAGAATTTAATGTTACAAATCAGGAAAAAGGTGGGGGGATAAAGGACATTTTAGTAAGGGGCACTGGGACATTTACATAGCTATTTGCAAAATGATAAAAAAGATTCATACCTCACTCCACATATAAGGACAAGTTCCAAATGGATGGAGTTCTGTGTGCAAAAATGAAATCATAAAAGTGGCAGCAGAAAATTGGGTGAATTTCTTTATAATATGAAAGTGGTAAAAACCTTCCTATCTATGATTCAAAAATCTGAAAGCATGTAAAAAAATTTATAAGTTAGACTTCAATTCTTTTTTTGCATGGCAAGAAGTATGCATATCTCTGACAGGAATACAAAATGTTACCACCTGCAGAAGAAGGTTTGGCAAAGTCCAGAAAATAGACATGTACCATTGCTGCTGAACCAGTGACTGCACTCCTGGGGTCTCAACACAATCACACAAAAGGCTGAAAACCACCCCTCAGCTGAGTAAGGCCATACCCAGGACAATGGTACCTCACACAGCAGAAAGGAATACACATGCAATTAAGATTAGAGCCTTAAAATAGGGAGATTGTTCAAAGTGATCATGAGTCATAAAAGTGGAAGAGACACAGACAGATGGGAAGAAGGAGAGTCAAAGCCCAAAAAAGGCTGTGGCCCACTGTGGCTGGCTCTGAAGGTAAAGAGGGCCCATGGGACATAGATGTGGTGGCTTTTAGTAGCTGGAAGAGTCCTGTTGGCAGGCACTTGGAAACAGGACCTCAGTCCTGCAACCACAAGCAATTGAACTCTGCTAGTATCCTGATGATCTGGGAAGAGCTAAAGCCCTAGAGCCTCCCAAAGGGACTGCCCCTGGACAGTGTGACTAGCCCATGAAACCCCTGCTGAGCTTCTGACCTACAGAACTGTAAGATGATGTGTTTATGCTGTCCGAGTCCCTGACCATTTGGCAGTGACAGTAAATGTATCCCCACCCCACTTACCTATCATGGACGACTGGCACCCCACATCCTGCAGAGACCTACGCATCCCAGGAAGGAATGAGGAAGCTGGGCACACACAGAGGCACAGTGAGCTAAAGGGTGCTTTGTCACATGAGGGGAGTGTTCCGTGTAAGAACGGGAAATGTGGATATATAAATTTGCTTATATTGTCAAAAAAAGGACAGAAAACCTAATATATATGGGTTATCATGGGGAATAAAGGGGAAAAATGGACATAAACATCCTGAATATTAATTTTTTTAGAAATAGTTTTGATTTTGGGGTCATGTAAGTGAGCTACACACTTGAAAAGAAATTTCAAAGCTCTAATAATTTTTTTTTAAAAAAGGAGCCAGCTGCTAAAATTGAAAGCAAAAAAAAACCACAACACCTGAAATAAATATACTTAATTCTGTCTTAAATTGGTGACATAATCACAAGAGAAAAGAATTATGTTAAGTGGCTTTAGAACTCAGTATGTATTCTAAGGACAAATACTTAAATTGCATTTAGTAGTCTTTATTGTTAGTTATGTTATTGAAATGACAATTTTGAAACCCTTAATATAATAATAAGACAAAATAAGTAACTATGTTAGCGTTTCCAAAATACATAATTTTAGTATAAAAGAAATGATATTTAAAATATGAATTTGAGGATAATAATCTTAAATTTCAATTGGAAATGTTTCAAAAAAATCTATTTCCTCTCTGGCTATGGGAAAAATCTAGAAGTAATGACCAGCCAGTAGGAATATGTACCCCAGTGGCCCTCATACCCAGGTCATGGTCTTCAAATAGCACTGGACACTAAATGAAAGCAAGGTCCATGCTGGAGCATGGGCAGGAAGACACAAATAGATCCTAAGACATCCTGCTGTATCAGAAAGCATGGAGGATGTCCTCATGTTAACAGCCCAGAGCAATGTGAAGAGTTTCCCAGACTAAATGGATGAATTTGGGTTCAAAAAGAATACTGATTACTGATACCTGAAACACACTGGACCTATTCAAAACCCATGTTTCATAATAATACTCAGGAGACTAGCAGGAGAAAAGGAAGGGAGGAGGGAGGGAGAGAAGGCAGGCAGGGAGGAAGGCAAGAAGGGAGGGAGGGAGGGATAATTTCTGGGTTGCTGTAGCTGGCCTGGCTTAGCACTAAATTCTAGAGCTTGTGGAGAGCATGGCCAGATGATATGAATGGTATTCTGACCACAGTGGCGCCTTAAGCCACCAGGCCACAGGACTGCTTCGGCTATCCTTAGACTGCTTGTCTGGCTAGAACTGGTGCTAGTATTGGTTTTCATAAGATACCAGGATTATTTTCCTATATTTTCTTCTAAGAGTTTCAAAGTTTGCTTCTATCACTTTGGTTTCCGTTCACTGGGGGTTGATTTTGTGGATTGGATGTGAGGTGAGGAGATACTGTTATTTTTCTTAAGTAGATAATTGTTTCAGTTCCTGGGAGGATCCTACATATATTTCCAGAAACATTTGCTTAATGAAGCTTTTGAAGACGCATATAGGATTTGCTCTCTAACTTATGGCCACTTTCCAGAAGTGCATTGCCTTACAATCCAGTACAAGTATAGTCATGAAAGTCACTGGGATTTTACTTCAAACAATAGCTACTTTGAAACTTCACTACTCTTCCTTTCTCATTATTTGGTTTTTTATGTTTTTCCCCCGCTTTTAGAGGAACATGAAACCAGCAGACTGTGCGTTACTCATTCACAGACCCATAAGACCACCCATTCTTACTGTGGCTCTTGGTGTTGGTGCCACAGTCTTTTCTGTGGTCCACTTTGGGATCCTGTGTGATCACCCCATGCTCCCTACTCACTTTCCCTCTCTATGATGACTTGCTGGCCTCCTACTGTCCCCCAGTCACAACCAACAAGCTCCTTTCTCCCAAGAGAGAACATTTCCCCCTGCGACAGAAACTTTGCCAGGCACTGCTTAGTGCTTCACTCTCCACACCTAGAATAGTGCCGGGAGACAGAACACAGCCTAGAATTGTTGCTAAATGAATGCATATTTTATGAGAGACAAGTTGTATCAAATCATTAGTCCCATTCTTATATTTGGTAGCTAGCTGGAGATAGAATTTCTAAGAAATGCTTTCAAATTCTGGGTTCCTATTTTGAAACACAATTTGAATTTTAATCCTTACTACTACTTTTCCAATAACCTAATAGGAACCTGATACAGCATCTTGTTTTCCACTGTCTTTCTACATCCTGTCCCAGCATTTCATTGACTTATCTACTTCTCTATGTACAACCCCTTCCCCAAGTGCCCCCAGGTCTATACCAGCGGCTGCTGAGTCATTCTGCAAAGTGTCACTTCTTTGTCCCTCAATGACAGTCCTCAACATGCTCTTTGGAAAGTCAGGGGCCCAATTTTATGAGCCACATACCTGCCCCTCCACAATCCACCTGGAGATGGATGTCTTCCCATTGTAGCCTGGTCGGAACTGAAGTGTGGCGGAACGAGGGCTGATGTTGGAAATGACCAGGTTGGATGGGGCACCAGGAAGGTCTAGAGAAGGATGAGGGAGATGAAAAGAGAATCAAATTCTATCACAAATTATGGCAGTTATCAAACTTGTCAGCAAGGAAACAGTTTCAACATTCTGTCCTCAGAAAGATTTGTTTTAAACCCATGAACGTAATAAGCAGTAGGGCGTCCCCTGAACATCAGAAAGTATGACTTCTATTTTAACGGGTCACACAAGGCTCCAGGCCATCTGATGTGGCAATAGGAGACATGTGCCTTGTTCATCTCTGAACACAATAGGTAATTAATGGGTACTTGTTGGATGAATTAATGTTAATTCTTGAAATGACACCAAGAATTGGGAATTTCTTCCCTATTATTCCCATGATGCCTTGGAAGTTGGGATAGGGAAGGCAGTTTCCAGGCAGCATGACAAGGCAAGTGTTCAGGTCTTGAGCCTAGGATTCTTGGGCATAGTTTCCAAGACAACGAAATTCAGGTGACAGTGCACTCTTCCCACTTTGCCTAATCGGTTGCTCTGGCAACAAGATAAGGTGGAAGGTTAGACCCCTCATCTGAAATTTCCTATGGCTTCAACCTACTCACAGGCAGAGATCCTTGGCCATCCCTGTCAGAAGTATAACACTGGGTATGGAATGTGAGAGTTTATATTATTGTGCAGTGAGAAATACTCAAGAGAGAGATAATGGGATGAAATGAAGAAAAGCTGCTTTTTGCTTGCATTGTATCTGAGGAGTGACTTTCTAACTTGCATTGCTGGGGGAGTTTAAAGGCAGGTCTTGCCCAGGGACAATAAAAGCACTTTGGTGATCAGTTTGATATTGGCACAGGCAGAGTCACTAGGATCTTAAGGGTCCTTTCATATCTAATATAATGAATTTGAAGCAGAAAATGTTTAAATCAGAGGACAAGTGACTCTCTTCTTTGTATTCCTCAGCTCTCTGAGCTTTTAAAATGACTCTTCACTCACTAATGGATGTAAATCTCAAGCACAGCAGACAGAACACAGTTCCCCAGAAGGAATCGGCAATGCAGGAGGCTTTTCCCACAGGTACTCAGCTGCTCAGGCCTGTCTAAAACCACTCTCCAGCTACTGGGACAGGTCTTCAGCAATATGTTCCAGCTGTCAAAGGCTAATACAATACAGTGGGGTCTTCATTCCCCCTGACTTCACTTCCCTCTGAAGACTACAGTAATGCTGGATGCAGAGCCTTTTGGAGGCTAGCAAGTCCATCTCCCTGGCTGGGATGGACAGTTCCAAGTTGTCCTAGCAAAAACCCGGTAACTCACACAAGATGCACTTCCAACCTTCCCCACTGTCGGTGTATGCAGCCCTTTTTAACAAATTAAAACAGTATCCCATTGGCATCACTACTGCTGTGGAAGTACTAATGCTATTTCAAATATGTGCTTTGGGAAATAGCTTTAAATACTTTAAGTGTATGTTATGGGAACTGGCTATTGTGCAACATAAATGAAAAAAAAAAAAAGAATCTCTTTGTAAGTTGAAGACTTAAAAGAATGCTGAATTGCCTTTGACCATGGCTCTCCAGGTGCAGTGCCTGGCCAGCAGCAGGAACATCAGTGAGATCTAGACCCAGGGGTGTCCAGAACCTCACCCAGCTCCATGAGTCAGACTCTCAGGGTGGCCCAGCTCCCTGTGGCATGGCTGACCCATGAATCTGGTGTATGTGGCAGTATGAGGGCCGCTGCTTCTGGGAGACAGAAAGACTCAATCAAGATTTGCCCTCTTGGCAAAGAGTGGCTGGACTCAGGCAGGAGCCTCCTTTTTCACACACCACTAGAAGACACAGTGCCCAGCAGAGCCCCCTGTTATCCAAGGCTGAGGGTTACATTTAGAGTGGCTTCATGCCAAGAGGCAAGGGATGGGGGACATGTGGGCTCCTGTGGGGTTCTTCTCACTGCACACATCTTATTTGTTTTGCACTCTCTTAAGATCATGCATGCCACCTTCCCAGGAAAATAAGCAGTTAGGATGACTGGCTGGAAGTGGGAAAGTGCAGGGGCAGATGCTGACTTCACAGAGGTCTTTCCAGCCCTTATGAATGAGGTAGTCTGATTTTTCTCGAAGACCTGAATATGGCAAACAGACATGTTCTAAATGGCAGAAGTCTCATAGCTACAACTGAACTGACTGCCCCATGGTACTTTCTCACATTCATGAGCATTTGTGAACTCTCTGGAAAAACACATTCATTTCAAACTTAAACAGAGAAGAATGAGTTGGGTAGCAATTGTCTAAAACTGAAACGGCACGAAGACATTTAGTGAGATCATCTGAATTTCAAAAGGACTTGATGACAGGTATAAGACACAGCTGCATAGATGAGCGAGCTTGGCGGATGGCTCGTATGTGAGCACTTGAGCCCAGGGCAGAGCCTTCCCCTTCTCCTCTCTTTTCTCCTCCTCCTCCCCCTCCTCTTACTTCTTGGTCTCACTGCAAACCCCAATTCTTACTATTTTCTTGGGTAAATAAATCTCCGTGTTTCTTATTCTCAATTGCAATCTGAGTGCTTCCTATGTCCTCTCAAAGGCTTCTACCTTCCATGTGTTGCTGGCTGGCGGCCACTGGAGGTCAGGAGCCTCAAGTTCTCCAGACCACATCGGGCCTCATGGAGTCCAAGTCTCTCCTTTCCCTCCAGTGTGTTTCCTCATAGCCACACACTCACAGGAGGGGCAGTAAGGTGTGCCAGATGTGCTGGAACGTGAGGGAGAAGATGGATCAATGTTACTTACCTCCACACACCCCAGGCTGACACCCTGCCCTGTCCCAGGTACTGGGTGGCTCTTGCATGGAAATGCCATCAACATCGAGTACCATGAACCTCTACTGGAAAGGCAAGAGCAGGAGGAGGATGACAGGATCTTACTGACCTGGGGGCACTCCAGAAGAGATGGTGGATGAGGTGGCCAGGCCCACGCCCGCAGCTGTCACTGCAGCCACCTCGATGGTGTAGGTGGTGAGGGATGACAGACCTCGGATTTTGTATTCATGGGTCATACTGTTAAGGGTGTGTGTGAGCCGAGAATCATTCTTCCCATACACCTCCCAGGAAATCCGGTAGCCTGAAAGGACAAACAAGAGTGAGTCAGGGCCTCCGCCAGGGAGAGGGGCAGGACTGGACACCTTGTGGTGGATTTGAGAAGGTGGAGACTGGGTCTCACCAGGGTATGTTAAGGTCATGGAAGAACCCATTGCCTGCCTAAATGGAGCTCCGAGTCAGAGCTCCTTCCTCTGTATTCCTCGGAAGCTTGCCTGGGCCCCTTCTCATACCAGGGTGGCCTGTTCTCTGTGGTAAGACACAGCAGCCTCTCCAGGACAGGACCTGTGTGATATTTGGTGACCTTGACACTGGCACCTGGAATAATGAACAATAACCAGCCCACTGTGCTCCATTAGCCTCCACTGCTCAAGTTATGGATGCACACCACCAATATTCCCATTTTTATGAGTTGCTATTTTCATCACACAGTGCCCTAAATCAGCAGCTTGCTCTTGGATCATAGCTAATTTGAGGAACACTTCTTTGTCCTGTATGAAGTGACTGACAGATGATTCTTACAGTTTGCAAAGAGCTTTGCCTAGAAGTCTCTTTTCACCTGTGTGCATGAGTTTTGCTTCTAGCTGTGTCTCTCTTTTTTGAATATCCTGTTTTCCTAGCAAAATTTAATTTCCCCCTGTACTCTATTCAGTCCAGTGGGGCCTCATAATCACAATTTATTCAGCCTCAGATTCCATAGTGATTTGGGAGTTAGAGAAAAATACTCAATGAGTGCCTGAGTCGACCCCTCAGTGGGAGTTTATGTGGTTAGAGAATGCTTAAAGTGTCTTCTAGAGAGGGAAGCAGTGATGGAAAGAGCCCTTAGGTCCTTGGGCAAAGGAAAACTGCTGAAAATGTGTGCTCTCCCTTCCTTTTGGTTGATACCCTGATGATGCTGAAGCACTGGACACAGCTTAGCTTCCTTCCATTTTGATGAAAGCAATAAATAAAGCTAGAAAGTTGCACTTGCACGTGAACAAGAATTTAAGGAAAGCATCTTGGGACTTTAATATTTTGAAAGAACAATTAATGTTAGAACCTGCTCCCTTCTCATGGTGCCTGCAGCCATCATACATCGCAGAGACCTTGGTGGGTTGACACAGAACTCCAGGCTAGGGTACAGCAGCTGGGAACTGCAAAGGGTAAAAGGCACAAAGAGGATGCCTGACCATGGAGCTCCAGGCAGCAGAGAGCCTAGAATTATATCAGCCAGATGGCTGAGGGTCACTAAACCATTCTCCTCCATGCAGGCTCATGGCTTCTCCCAAGGCCTGGTCCCCTTTCCCTCCTCACATCACTGGCAAGGGCTGGCTCCCATGCTGACCCCTGACTCTACCTCCTCCACCTTAGCGCTGGGTCTTAGACGCTGTCCTGGTCATCTGCATCTAGCCTGATTATCCTCCACATATATCAGCTTCTTCCTTTTTGCTAATTTGAGTTTGGAAATAACAGCACAATGAGTCAAACAAAGCCCTTCAGGGCAATGAGTCCTAAAAACATCAAACACCCAATCTGTTGTTCCAAGGACCTAGGAGTATCTTGAATACCTCACAGGCACTAGTTCATGCAATCTGCACGAAGCACCTTTGACACCAGCACACTGTTACCCTCACTCTTCAAAGGATGAAAATAGGGCCCCAGATGCTCCAGGCCTGCTCCATGGTACCATACACCTTGCCTCCCAAGGAGCCTGCTTTGTCACCTTCTCAGCCCTGCCTAAACTTGAAAGCTACCCCTGTGCTTGGGTTATATCTGATAAATCTATGCTCAGGAGCCAAGCTGGATGGCCAAAGAGGAGGCCATGCTGAATGCTATCACCTACTCCGCCAAGAAATTTTGCTTAAAAATTTATTAAGCACAGAATTGTGTCTATCATATCAACCTGAAGCTGAAACAGAATGATTCCACCATCTTCAGTAAATGTGGCACTGTTGGGATTTATCAGAACCAAAATTGATCACGTGGCATGCTTATTGTTATGGACACAAACCCAAACTAAAAGGACAACAGAACAAGTTTGTACCTGTTAGGAAGATACAAGGAAAACATGGGCAGAGAGAACACAATGGCCTGGAACTGTAGATAAAGGATGGCTCGTGATACTTCCTTGTGCAGACAGACAAGACGGTGGGCATGTGGCAGGAAGAATGCTGTCCACTCTCACACTGCTTTGGGAACTGTGTGGTGGACTCCAGCAGCTCTGGCCAGCAACTGTCATGTGGCTGTGGTGTGGGAGAGGATGGGGAGAGGGCACCTGGAGCCAGAGGCTGAGCACACCCAGCTTGGCGTCCTACCGGCTCTGAACAGCTGCCTAACTGAGACGAACGACCATAGGAGCTTCAGAAATAATTTTCTCTTGATCTGAGGTAAATTCTCTACAAGAGAGCAGTGCATCCAATCACAGACTGTCTGTCTGCATCCTAGCTCTCATAAATCAGAGTTTACAGAGGGAGAGGGGAAGATACTGAAATTTACAATGAGAGCACAATGCGAAATTTACTCAGGTGGGTGGGTGTGAAGCTGCCCTCAGCACTTCCCTCTCATTCTGGCCTCAGATTAGAAGGATGGGGGCACTTGCTGTGGATGTAGGCTGATAGAGCATTGTTTCTGTCAGGGTCCCCAACCATAAAGTGTACAGGGACAAGCCATTAGCTTTTATGGATTTCCTAGGCTGCCTTCAGCAGCCACCACACCTAGTTAGGACACACTGGGAAAGAGGCGGTGCCCACCAGCACTCCCCGAAATTGTCTCTGAAAGCTAGGTTTGCCTGAAAATATAGTTTTTCTTTTGTTCTACTTAACAAAATACTTTCAGCACAAAGCACAGCTGCACGGTGCTTCCAGTACGGTCCACAGGAGGCCTGCATCCGCTTAGGGTGTCAGACCATCCAGTGGCAAGAGCTTCCCAGAGGGCCAGCACCACAAGGAGGCGATGGGTGACATCCGGCTAGGGACGAAGGCATTCTGACTCACTCTGTAGGGCCTTGTCTTCTACAGTGCTTCTCCAAGTGGAAAGAAGTGCAGGGCAGGTACAGTGAGGGGATAGCATGGGGAAGGGGAGCCTGTGGTAGCACAGTCACCTGCAGTCCAGGCTGTAGTTGGGGGCAGGCTGGCAAAACTCAACTGGGAAAAGCCAGAGTTCCGAAGGTCAAGTTTCACAACAAACAGAAGACAATTTCTTGTAACTATATGTATTTGTTTAAATAAAATGCAAAAATGAGTTCATTAAGCCCCATTAGCTGGTGAGAACAGATGAGCAAAAACTGGAAGTATTGGCAACACTACTTAGCTGAGATCCTGCCTCTGGCTTTCCCTTAAAGCTCTAAAACAGGATTGATTGATGGCGAGGGTGTTCAGAAGGTACGGGGCTGCAATGGCCTGTGTGTCTGTGGCAAGGAAGCCCCTGAAGGACAGGATGTTGAAGGAGTCCGAGCCGGCTTTCTAGAACATGGCAGACTGTCCAGACAGGCCTGGACAGATGAGAATCACTGGCCTTTCTGTAGGCAGCCCTACCTCTGAACTCAGAGGCCGAGTGGCTCGCACTCCATCCCTGGAAGGGTCCTTGAAGGTCTACTCTGGAGCTTTCTCTGTGACTCCTCCTGATAAGCTGCTCCCACCCTCTCCCAACCCCGGCCAGTTTGTTCTTCCGTGCTTTGAGAGGTGGAAAGCAGTACTAAGCCAGGCCAGGTCCCTGCTCCCCTTCATGCACTCCCTCCAGAGGACAGGAGGAGGGGAATTTCTTATGCTACACAGTCAAGTCTTGCCTGGTACAGAGGTTTCAGCACAGCAACACATGGGATGGGTGCTTTAGTATCCTGTTTTCGCCGTCCAATGTGGGCATTTAAGACCATGAGTTTCCTGAACGCAGACCCTAGTGGATATATTTACTTTATTTGAAGTTAAGGGTTAGGGGACATCAGTTCCACTGGCTCCATGAGTGTGATCTGAGCATCCAGTTCTGAGGGGTCTCTGGTAGATCAGAGGCATTTATCATGAGTAGAAGGCTAGTACCAGATGCGCTGCTGGATGGGACAGAATGGAAGAGTTTCCGCAGGGATGCGGCTCTGATGCTGTACCTGGAGTACCTGGGACACTGAAAGGAGCCTCTGGGAGTGGTGGCCCTGATGCAGCAACAGACAAGGATACCCCACACTCCAGTTCTTCCTGTGTAAGCTGCAAGCCTGGGGAGCTTGGCATCTAGACAACAGCATGCTGCCTGCCTTTGGGCATTTCCTATCTGGCCACAGCACAGCAGAGTTTCTGGCAGTTGCTATGATAAGGAGACGAGTGGCATAGAAAAGCTACCATGAAATGGAAAGAGGTAGCAGGTCTAATGTGACTGCTTGATTTTGAGCAGCTGGGCAGCCAGGGCACACAGACTTTCCTTTCACTTACTGTGCACTGGCTTTTAAATGGCTACTTGGTGGCTAGTACATAAAATGGAAGTTGCTGGATACAATAAGCAGTACTGTCAGGCATGTCTTTGCCCTGGAGCTTCAGGAAACCCACTGAGACCTGCTGACAGGGGCAGACAGGAATCTTCTGGGTAGGACAGAAGCACACCTCATACTCTGCTCTAGCACATGGCCATGTAGAAGAGGACAGAGCACAGACACTGGGTCCCAATACCAACTGGGCCACTTGTAGTGTTAGGACAAGTCAAGTGTGATATGGGGAAGCATCAACCTGCAGGGCTGGGTGCCCACTGCAGGGGAGGCCCGGGGATGGTCACTGCTCTGCTCTCCAGCACCTTGGAAGGAAGAGGAAGGGGCCCTGCAGCATGGCAGCTGGGTAGCAGGGTTAGGCCATCATTCTTGTCTCCATGTCCAGGTTCTGGCCACCTGGAGAGCAGGAATTTGTGTCAGGGACCATGAGGCACTCAAGGAATTGGGCAGGCTCCCGAAGTCTGAGAGTGTGACTGTTGTGTGACCAGATGGCTCCAGCTCTACATGGACTCACTCCTGGATGACAAACTGCTCATTCAAACAAGGCCACCTGAAACCGTGGGCCTGGCTGTAAAATCTCCAGGGATGAGCCCCTGATGGGACATATGCTGAGGGCAGGCATGTGTGCATCTGGCGTCCTACAAGGCCAGACAGTAGGAATATGATGCGGCTTATGTGAAACTGCAAGAAATAGTGTGTAAAGGCTCCAGGCCAGGCAGTAGGCCAGCCCCTCCCTACAGTGTACCTCAATTACCCCTCCACAGAGCCCCTACAGCTGGAACTGAGGGTCTAAGGGGAGGTGAGCTGAGCCTGTGGGGTGGATTACAGTGCTCACAGCAGGGGTTGAGGGTCTGGGATTTAGCTTCTGGTGGGAGAGGAGCCCCTTCCACTTCATCCATGTCAACCTATGCTCCTTTTACCAAACCAGAAGCCCCCCTACCAAACTAGGATTTAAATTAAGCTTTAACTTGAATGGTTTCCAGCAACCTCTTCTATAAAAAAAACATTAAAAGCCCTGAAAATAGTGAGGTTCTTCCCCCAAGCACCTCACAGGGCAGTGGGAGAGTCCCACTGGAAAGGGAATACATGCAGCCCACCCACCAAGCTCAGCTCAGGACCGTTCCGGGTTGGGCTCTCCTCTCTGTTTACCTCTTCTTTCCCTTGAATCTTTCACCAATGCCACAACGGGATTGGGTAGAATACGAGATTTGGATTCTTGAGACCTGGACATCATCCTTGCCTTGCCACAAGTGGCACTGTGTAGGGAACCAAGAGGTGGGCATGTCGGCATAGTAGCTGCTGCCCTGTTGGGTGCATCTGAAAAACTGCAGTCTATCCATGCATATTTGCAACATAAAGGGAAGGTCACACAGCCGCTTCAAGTCTCAATTTTCCCCAAACTCTGAGGCTGCTGCCCACCCAGAAAAATGACCCCCATCTCAGTGTTCCCAGTCCTGGGGATATAGGACTGTCACATGTTTCTGAGATCCCAGGAGGTCTTGGGCATGGGCCCACACTCTAGTTTTGCTGAATACTACCATAGTGTTTCTTTCTGGCATAGGAAACTTAATGCTTTCTTTCTGGAAGTCAGGATGCTCACCTGTGTTGATGGGAGACAGGACACTCACCTGTGAGGATGCCGTTCTTCTCCAGGGGCTCCTGCCAGCTGACCTTGAGAGATGTGTCCAGAATCTCTGTGAAGCTCAGGTGGCCCACAGCTCCTGGTTCTACCAATTAAAAATAGAGGTACCTGTTAGCACCACAGCCTAATTCTCTTTTGATCAGATTAAGTGGTAGTTTCTAACTATGGAAAGGAAGTGGTGAACTAGGGCCAGCAGAAACCTGCAGGAAACATCAAGAAAGATGCAAGTGGGACAGTGGAACTCATACTAAGGTGTCTGAGCTGTTACTGCATGGATTATTTTGCCTCACTCTATCTCAATTACCATAACAGGAAGCAGTTACAGGAGACAGGGGTTTATGCACATCTCACTCTCTGTAAGTAGAGCCATTAGGCCATTTGGGCCCTGAAAAGCAAAAGCTCACATAGAATGCCCCTTAGCAGTCATTCGCAGCTCTGGGCCTGGGTTGGGAGGGGGCCTTGCAGCAACTGGAACAGGGACCCTCAGCTTAGGGGCAGGGCCTGCCCAAATTTGACCCACAGATAACACCTGGCCCACCTGATCCAGACTCCAACTTCCTACTCCTCTCCACAGTGGTTCCAGAGGGGCAGGCTGGGGCTGGAGAAAGTACTAGCAAGAATAGTTCCTTCCCCAGGGGCTTCCTGCAGCCTGGAGCCTAGAAGTGTGGGTGGAGCAGCAGAGGCAAAGTTAACGATGGAGGTAGAAGTGGATTACAGACCTTGCTGCACCGTGCACTCACTCAGCAGTTAAGGCCCCCAAACCTTCATCTACCCATCTGTAAAATGAGAGAATAAAACTGGCTCTGGAAGATGACTGGGAGAATAAAATATAAAACATGAGGGAGCTAGCACAGCCCTGGCACTACGAAAATGCTGAGTGAACAGCATCCTATGATCAGAGGATTCAGTCATTTAGATTGCAATTACTGCCACCAAAGAGGATAAATAGGAGTTAGTGATTTGGGCTTAAGGACATGCCGCTGCCAAGCAGACAGATAGGTGGAAGGATCTAGCACAGCAGGACTGGGAGTGAGGCACCTGCAGGCTGGACAGCACTTCATACCATAGTGCTGGTCAGCTTAGAGCCCTTTCGGGTTGCTGCCCCATCCCAGTGGGGTTGGTCCACCCTGCCTGATGATGATGTTGGGGAAGTAAAGGTCGGGGGGGGAATATGGATTCTCTGAGCAAGGGGTCCCTCAGCAGCAGCTGTGTGGGGTCTGGGGGAGCAGCAGAAAAGGTCATGTTTGGAAGGAGGCTGGGGGGCTGGAGGGCTGGTCCCCACTATGCGCCATGCTTGGTGTGTGTGGATCTCACAGGTATCCCCTGGTCTGGGGTTTCCCAACCAAAGCTGCTGGGTCTGCTCGTTTCCTGTGCTTTATAGCCTATTGCCTCTCAGACCATGCTCCCCATGCCTACCCCTCTCCATACCCAATCTGGGAGAAATGTAAGGGACCGAGTCCTAAACAGAGGACAGAAGAAAGGGTGGTTCAAAGGCAACAGAGGAGGGAAATACAACGCCTGGCAAAGAGACAAGAACAAGGTTGGTGTGTGCACATCTTGGTGGGGAACCTGCCCTAGCCAGGCAGAGAACACCCAGATCCCTAACGAACCTGCTGGGTGAGGCACACTGAGATCTTTTTAGTTAGCAAAATGCATTTTAAAAAATCCTTAAAGTCATGGGACAACATGAAGTAAAGGGAGCTGCCTCCTGCAGGAGAGGGGCTCAACAGATTCCTGCAGAGAAGCTTCCTTGCCTCGTAGGCTCTGCCCTGGCTCCTTCTGGTCTTGTTTGCACAGGAGGTAGATTTTTAGGTGAATTCAATACCTAGTTCCCAAGTGGTACTGCAATAAAGCTTTCTAACAAGTTGTGATTTTTAAAAGATGGTAGGTCTTTCGAACCACACTCACCTTGGTGAAACCCCACCAGATGTGAGGAAGAGCTCAAACACTGACAAATGCCACTTTTCTCAAATGGCAGGCAAGAAAATAGGATGGCTGTCAAGCCCATGTCATCCTCCCCCAGCCTGAGCATGCAGAAAGACATTATGACAGATTTCTGAACTGATGTGTTCTTTTTCGATCGATGGAGCAGCAAAGAAAGCTTTTTGCTCCTTTTATATTTTCAGTCTTTCTGCTTCCTGGATTCCTGCCCAAATATGCTATTTTCCAGTTCTGCTGGAACCAGCTGGCAAATTAATATTCTGTTTCTCTTTTCTTTCCCTCCCCAACATCTTTGTGTCCCACTCCAGTGCTGGAGAGTAGGCCTGGTACAGGAGTCCATGGCACGACCTTGGTGATGCACAGGAGACATCTCCCCAGGGCCGTAGCCCAGTCTTTTCTGGGCCAACCTCAACCCTGCCTTCATTTCACCTTTACATCTTGCTCTGTCCTTCCAAATAGAATAAACTGGCTCGCTGCCTGTAACAATATGGTAGTTTGGTTAGAAAATTCTAAAAGGCTAACACTGCTTTTAGTTTTGCTTGCTGAAAAGCAGATGCCATAGCAAAATAAGCACTCATTGAACATTCACCAAGTCAGACCATGTCCTGGGACCAAACCCTCAAATTTAATACAAGTGAAACCAGAGAAAGTGTGTTCTCCAATAATGGAGTCAGATTGGAAATCAATGGCAGAAAGATACTAGGAAAATCTCCAAACACATGGCAATTAGTTATTACTCTTTTAAACAATCTACAAGTCAAAGAGGAAGTCTCAAAGGAAGTAAGAATACATATAACCAAATGGAAGTAAAACTATGGCACATCAAAATATGGGTGATGCAGCTAAAGCAGCGGGAGTGAAATTTATAGCACCAGTGGTTATGCTGGAAATGAGAAAAAGGCTCAAATCAATTAATGTAAATGTTTCTCTCAAGAAATTAGAAAAAGGAGAGAAAAATAAATCCAAAGCAAACAGAGGGAAGGAAATAATAAAGAGCAGAAACAAATGATACTGAAATAGGAAATAATAGAGAAAAATCAATGAACCAAGAAGCTGGTTCTTTTTTTTTTTTTTTTAAATCAATATGATTGATGAACCTCGAGAAAGAATAGCAAAAGGCAGAAGATACAGGCCACCAGGAAGGAAATGGAGAATTCCTTCAAGGTAATACAGCCATTAAAGAGATAAGGAAGCTTGACAAAGGATTTTACAATCATAAATCCAAAATCTTCAGAGGAACAAATTCTAAAGAACAATAAACTACTAAAACTCAACCAAGCTGGGCATGGTAGCACAGGCCTATAATCCTAGAACTTGGGAGGTTGAGGTGGGAGGATTGTTATGTGTTCAGGCAAGCCTGAGCTACGTAGTGAGTTCAAAGGCCAGTCTGAGCTACATAGCAAGACCCTGTCTGAAAACAAAAACAAAAATTTCAACTAACATGAAATGGACAACTCGAATAATCCTATAACCACTGAACAAATTGAATTTATAATTCAAAACCTCCTAAGAAAGAAATCTCCAAATCCAGAGGGTTTCACTGGAAAATCATATCTAACATTTAAAGAGAAACTTACACTAGTTTGACATAATCCCTTCCAGAAAATAGAAAAAGAGGAAACATTTCCAAATATTTTATGAGACCAGTGTTGCTTGATGCTAAAGCAGACACAGCACTGGGGCAGGTGTGTGTGTGGGGGAAACCACAGGCCAGTATCTCTCATGAACTTAGATGCCAAATCCTCCATAAAATACCCACCAAGTGAATCCAACAGCATATAAAAAGAATTATACACTGTGACCAAGTGGGATTTATTCCCAGTACACAAGACTGCTTCAACATTTCAAAATCAATCGATGTAATCCAATATATCAACAAGGTAAGACGAAAAACCACACAATCACATTGACTGATACAGTAAAAGCAGGTGAAGAAATCCCATGTGTATTCATGACCAAAACTCTCAATAAACTAAGGATGGAATAGTGGAGATTGACTTCTGCTTGATAAAGGACACCTACAAAAATATCCTACTTAGTGATGAAAGGCTAAAGATTTTTTTCTCCAAGATGAAGAGCAGGAAAGAATGGCTGCTCTTAGCACAGGATGAGGAATTTTAGCCAGTGCAAACAAGGCAAGGAGAGAGATAGAAGGTGTATAGATTAGAGAGGGAGAGAGTACAGAAGACAGGTGAGCTACAGAATAAGAACCCTAAGGAGTTCTGTGGTTGGGGACCACTTAGCCCAGGATTCGGTGGTGGGGACATAAACCTTCACATGCTATCCACTGTGCAGAACTAACTGTGCATGTGCATGGAGGAGGATGGGAAAAGCTAGTCACTGAATGGTATCAATGTCAGAACCCTATTTGTGATGCTAGACTACAGTTTTACAAATGTGAACATTGGAAGGAACTGGGCAAACATGTACGGCTATCTCAGTGCTAATTCTTACAGCTGCATGGGAATCCATAACTCTCAATAAAAAGCTGAATTCAACATAAAGCAGAAGACAGATCAAAGTTAGAATATGAGAAGAACTTCCAGGATCAATTAATAGCAGCAGGAGGGCTGTGTTTTTAAATCTTGATTGAGGGTGGGTTCGGTGATCTCAAAGGATCAAAAACTGTTCTGTTCTTCCTGGGTGGCACTGTGAAAGCCAGGCTGCTAAGGTGTGGGAGGGCAGGAGAGGTCAGGGGTCAAGGCAGTACTTTATGTGTAAAGGAAATAAAGAGCTCTGGGCAACTCTATGCGGCAGCTAAGTCAGAGCTGCCCACTCTGGGTAAGGCAGACACGAACATATCTGAAGGTCAAAGAGCAGACGCCCATAGCCAGAGAGGAATAGGACAAGAACACAGACAGGGTGGGATGGAAGAAAGCCAGGGAGCTTGCTCTGGGGGGCTGTAACCTCTTCGGTGCCATGTTCTGAGACCTTAGGGTCAGGCAGCAAGTGGAGAGGGGCATGGGAGACTGAGCCAGACCCAGAGCTGGAGGAAGCTGGTGAGAGATAAGGGCAGCCCAGGGAAACTTAATAATATACATCATTGGTTTATCTCTCCTTACAAAGGGAAGTGCATACTTGTGGTAGACATGAGAAATTACTGAAAAATACAGAGAAAATGTAAAAACATTCTACAGACATAACACAGAGACAATAACTATGAAAATTACATACAAATGTATTTTGATAAAATTTAGATCTAATATGGTTTTGTAGGGTTTTTGACCATTAATCCTCCCAATTTTTTTATTTTCAAAGTTTTATTTTTTAAAATGGCTATGAAATATTAGTTATATTATCCATTCTGTAATTTTTTCCAGTCCTTCCCGTTTGAAGGAGGCATTTTTTGGAAAAATTACAGCTGTAATTATCCTTTTTGAATATAATCTCTGTGTGTGGCTGCGATTACTTTCTTGGGAAGGCATTATTAGCCACCGTTTTCCTGTCTCATCAGTTGCCCTGAGAGAGAAGAAACGGCAATTTTGAACAGACCAGAGGGAGACAATGCAAAGTTGAAGGCAAGGAGCTCAGAGGGGCCAGGCAGAGAGGTCCCCCGGTAGGGGGTCATAAGGAGGGGCAGGGAGGCAGTAATGGTGTGTGATGGAGGGTAGAGGACTGGAAGATGACATCTCGGCTTAGCAAGACCACAGGAGAAGCCCCAAGGCAGGACTAGTCCCTCCATCTCTGTCCCCAGAGTTGCCTCCTCTGGCCTGGCTCCTGCTATTTCTCATGGGTCACTGCCCTTCAGGTGTGGTAAGCACCTCACAGTGACTGCTCTTGCGGGGCAGTGAGCACCAGGCAAGCGCCCTGGGACACTGGCTTGCTTGTGCCATCTCTGTCCTGGCCCAGTGCTGGACACGGCAGGGCTGTATTCTGACACCTGACTAGGGACAAATGAGCTTGGAGGTCAGAGAGAGGCGATACTCACTGTCCTCGTGGGTCCACACGAGCTGCGGTGTGCTGGGGGGCCCATCCCCCGGCGTGGTGAAGCATAGGACAGATGTGAAATAAGCGGTGAACTTCTTCAGGTTTGTGATGTACCCATGGTGGATTCCGTGGAAGTCTGGGGCGATGGTGACTACAGTGACTGCCTCAGGGACATCTGATGGCCATGCCAGAAGCTGAGAGGGATGGGTGAAAAGAGATCCTTTTAAAGTCCACTTCCTCATTCCAATCTCTATCAAAATTTTATTTTGTAGTATGTCTTTAAAGAAAGCAGTCACAATTAAATCTATAAACCTTGTACTTCAAAAAAGCTCAGTTTAAAAGATGTCGCACAGATGATTATATACAAATGCATGTGTATATATACATGCATATATATAACACATACATATAAATAAATAAAATAATGATGTTAACCCCTCTTTGGAGCAATGGATTCCCCTGCAAACCTTCACCCTCCTTCACGTCAGCTTGCTATAGAACTTCTGTTTCTTAACCATAGGAGACACAGATGGTACTGTCTGTTAATTGAGTCAAATCAATCATTTATGATTTATATTAGATTAGTTTCCTGAAAGGGAATTAACGACACCAGTTACGACTTTAAAGAAAGAGTATACGTGAATATTCCAAGGAAAGCTGCTTCATGTTTTGGGAACTTTAGGAGCCTGTGTGAGTTTTCATTCCTTTGATACCACACATCTCTCAGGTCAATTAGCTCTGAAAACTGCCTGCTGCAGGACCCACCTGGTGTCCACAGATCACGCAAACTGCCCAGCCCTCCCAGCACTCAAATGAGTGCTGTTGTCTCGCCAGTCAGACCTGGCAGCAGAGTCAAGAGGGCTGAAGCACCTGCGCTGATCAGTATGATTTGCTTTCACAAAAGCTTCTGACTTTGGATACTTCTGAGGGAAAATGAAAGGCGGGAATGATTTCCAGCTATGTATGCCTTTCTAGGAGACAAATATTTTAGTAAGTCAAATAAAAAAAAAAAAAAAAAAAAAAAAGAACCATGTATCCGGGAAAGGATCCCCTCTGAAGCTGAAATCACCAGATTCAAGCACAGCGGATGGAATCCCTTCTGCACAAAGGTCTCTCTGAATGCCCTGGAGGGAAGATTAGTGAGTATGCATCACCCACACTGAGAGTGGCTCTCAGGTCAATCAGGGAAAGGGGACTGAAAGGAAAGATAAGTTGTAATTTTTTTTTTTTTTTGGTACTGGGGATCAAACTTGGGTCCTTGTGCTTGCGAGGCAGGTGGCAGAACCACTGAGCTAAATCTCCAGCCCTAAATTGTACTTTCAAATTGCACCCAATCCCATCTATGAAACAGGTTCTGGTTAAGATGGATGGTGGGAATTTGTGTTTCTAATTTGGTTTTGGGAGGAATCCTGAACTAACTGGTCTCTTCTTTAAATAGAATTCCCCATAAAACAGGGACGGGGAGGAGGAGTGAACCTCCTTCTTGGCTACAACCCCTTACCCTCTACTTGGAGCCTGCCTGCACCGTGCTCAGGGGACCCCCTTCTGGAAGTGGCTTGGACACATGCTGACTCCAGACAGCTCTCCCATTGCCCACTGAGAATAAATGGACTTTCTCAGAAGAAACTGCTCTCTTATATGTCCACGATCCATTGTCTTGATAACTCATCATTTGAATTTCTGAGCCAGGAGAGCTAAGGGTAAGACAATAGATAAACAGCCACCCTACCAAGGTAGTTCTACTCTGCATCGGATGCCTGGAGTTCCTGATGGGATGGGAAGGATGGCCTCCCTGGCATGACCACTGTATGGTCACAGAGCAGGAGAACTGCCTGAGGCTCCATGCCAGGCTGGTGGTTACCTTATATCCCTGGTTGATCCCGTTGACGAACTGCTGCGGTGGCGGGTTCCACAGGAACTGCACAGTGGTGGAGTTCACAGCTTCTGCCTGCACATTCTGCGGGGGCGCAGTGGGCACTGTTCCAAGGGGTTGCAGAAGACAGCAAAACAAATGGCAGGAGGCACAGTGGGGAGGAGAGATGGAAGAGAAAGCCTCAGCTGCCACTCAGGATTCACAGGCAATTACGGCACTGAAAACAGCGGAGTGTGATGAATGTTTTTGGAAGCTAATAGTGGCATTACAAAGAAAGAGAACTGGGCTCTCTCTCATTTTCTGTTGAAGAATTCCTTAAGGCACAGGCAGAAAACTGGACTAGACCATCTTCTTATTCCACAGATGAGTCTTTCCCATGGACGCAAGATGAAGAACAGGTAAAACCTTTCTCTGGTTCCTTTTTCAATTGCCCACTAGTGGACACCCCCCCTCACCAACACCCCCCCCCAACATTACATACAACTATTTCAAGCTAAATTGTTTTCTATTGTAAACAGACAAACAAACAAAGCTATCACCTCCTTCCTGTATGTATTGTTGTTCATGCATCTGGGAGCTAAATTTCTCTGTCGGTACAGGAAACTATTTTTGGCCTTTTCACTGTTCCTCCCTGTCTTTCACCGAACAGCTACAAAATCCAATGATACAGCTGCCTTCAAGGGATGATGTCCTAGGGGAGATGGTGCCATGACAATAAGCAGGGCAGCAAAGGTGCAGGGAGGAGCAGCTGTCTGCTGGGAGCAGGTGGAGGGCTTCACATAGGCTGTGTGCAGAAGAAGGGCTCAACCTTGGGAGGGTACCAAGCCTAAGAATGGCACTCTTGGCTGAAAACGGGGCAAAGCATGGTTTTGGGAAGGAATCAGGTGAAGGTAGGAAGTGATTAGTATGGCTGTTCAGGGGTGTGGGAGAAAAGGGGCTGAGGGGGTGGACAGGTCCTCTTTGGGATTAAAACAGTGACTGGTATTGTATGTGGTGGACAAGTGGGGATTGAAAGCTTTCTGGAAAATTCAGCGGTGTGACAGGACTAGCTTTCAAGGAGTATGACCTAGTGACCTACAGACTAGACACTGGCTGGACTGTTGGACTTTGCAGGGCTGAAGGGACAGTCTTGGCTCTTTAGGTGCTTGCTTCTAAAGTAACACATGGAAGCCCAAAGGGCCCTTCAGCTCTAGGCAGAGAAAGAAAGGTAAGGGTCTCCCACCACACAGTCAGAATGCTGTCATGTTACTGCATTTCCCACAGCTATCTTCCTCATGCCCCCATCTCATCAAACCAAGATTGAAAACCCTGAAAACCCATCACGCTCTCCAGCCTTCTTTTCTGAGCTCTATTTTTATCTGCTGTTGACCATGGCCATGGAATTCCCTAGGCTAGTGATGGTGAACCTTTTAGAGCTTTCAATGATACAAACAGCTTGCTGCGACACCTGTGATGCAGGTTCGCTACTACTTCCCTTTCAACACCCAGGTAAAATGTGTGTTAAAAGGGACCACAGGGATAGCTGTGCCTGGGATCTGGAAAGTTGGACAGAACATTATCTCTACGTAAAAACAAGAAAAACTGAAAAACAGCAAAATCATAACTTCATAGGAGTCCATAGAGAGCTGAAGTTGAATGGTAGCTGGAGTCTGAAATACCATCCAAGGAAAGATGAAAGAGAGAGAGACAGAGAGAGAGAGAGAGAGAGAGAGAGAGAGAGAGAGAGAGAGAAACAGTTTCCATGTAAATAGGCAAGGAATATTCAACTGACATCCTCAACACCTGCTGAGTATGGTTACCTAACAGGAGAAAATCCTTGGGAGCTTCACACTCATAAAACAGATACTTTACACATAGAATAGTAAAGAGAATGAAGAGTATTTCATTGGAGAATTCCACCAACCATTTGAGGAACAATTAAACCAATCTAAAGTATTACTGATACCAAAAACCAGGAAAAAAAATCATACGCCAACATTCCCTGTGAATGAGTTCAAAAAATCATAACAAAATATTAGAAAACCATATTTAGAAATATGTAAAAATCATAATCTATTCTAATCAAGTCAGAGTTATCTTATAAATGCAAAGGTGGCTAAGCCAGGAGGAACCCTAGGAGTTCAAGGCCAGCCTGGGCTACGTGGTAAGAACTTATCTGAAAAGCAAAACAAAACAAAACAAAACAATGCAAAGCAAAGCAAAGCAAAACAAAACAGATTAAAACAAAATAATCTCTAAGTAAAGCAGGAATTTTATAAACTTTATAAACTTTATAAAGTTTATAAAAGTAAAAGGAATTTTATAAACTTGATGAAGAGCATCTATAAAGCATCTGCCTCTAATATCCTATTTAAGATAAGAGGCTAAACACTGGTGCCCTATGATCAGAGGCAAAGACGCTTTCTTCACTATTCTTTTTCTGGAAGCAAAAATAAGTGTAGTAATACAGGAAAAGGAAATAAAAGGCCTGTAGGCCAAAGAGGGGGAAAAACTGCTCTCCATTCACACACAATATGATTGTCTCTGTAGAAAATTTCTGAGCATCAGCACAATAAAAGCTCCTAGAACCAAGGTTAGTAAGCCCACCAGACATATGCTTGAAGTGTAATATCAATTATATTTCCAAACACTAGCAATAAATAATTGGAAATTAAAACTTAGAAACCAGTGGCATTTAAAGTAGCAATGAAAATATGAAACAGATATGAACTTAACAATGTACAAGATCTGTATTCCCAAAAATACAAAGCACTGATAAAAGAAATGAAAACCTGGGTGGATGAAAAGTCCTAACATATTAATGAGTTAGAAGACAACAGTAAAATGGATCATTCTCCCCACTGATGTGTACAGCAAACACAACCTCAATCGAAACTGCACCTGGATAGGTTTTAAGAATTGAAAAGATGATTTTAAAGTTTCTATGGAAAGGTAAAGTAATCACAATATCCAAAACAAATTTGAAAAAAAATGGACAGACTTCATTATATAATTTAAAGACTATAAATCTATGGTAATTAAAACAGGGTGTTACCAACGAACATATGGACCTGTGGATCAATGACATAGAATACAGGCCATAATTTTCTCAAAATATATGAGGTAGTTGTAAATGAAAACATAAAGGTAGTCTTTTCAACAAATGATGCTAGAAAAAAATGGATGTCTATATGCAAAAAGAAAGAAAGAAAGCAAGAAGGAAAGAAAGAAAAAAAATGGGGGCGAGATCTGGATCTATACCTCATACCACTTAGGAAATCTAGCTTAAAATGGACTACAGGCTTAAAAACAAAACTATAATTATATAATCTCTGGAAGACAAATAGTTGCGACATTGGATTAGGCCACACTTTCTCAGATACAACACCAAAGGGACAATGCATAAAAGAGAAAAGATTGATAAATCTGACTATTAAAATAGGAATACTTCTCTACAATATACATGTGCTATGAAAACGAAAAGATTGGTCACAGATTCCGAGGCAGTATCTGCAAAAGATGCCCTGTATCCAGTAAGGGGCTTTAATTCAAAATATATAAGGAACTTTCAAAATTCAATAATATGAAAACAAAAATGTCAAAATATGGAGTAAAGGATGAAGTAATTATTCTATCAAAGAAAATATAATGGCAGGAAATAGGAAAGATTCTTATGTGAAAGATTCTCAGGATTGCTGGTCATTGAAATTAAAATCAGGATATGATATTGCTTATATGCCCATTAGAAGGGCTAAACTAAAACAAACAAGCAAAGACCAATAACAACCTTGTGCTGGTGAAGATGAGAGCAAACGACACTGAGAGTTGTAGGTGGGAACACAAAGTGGTACAGCCATTGGTAGAACAGGTTGGTAGCTTCTTATAAAGCTCCTAGATATTTGGCCAACAGCTTACGTTCACACAAAAATCTGTACACAATATTTATGGCTGCTTTAACAATCCTCCCACATTACAAATATCCCAACTGCTTGCCAACTGGTGGATGGAGAAACAGAGTGTGCTACATCCCTGGAGTGGAATACCACTCAGCAACAAAAAGGAACGAACTGCTAATCCACATGATGACCCAGGTGACTCTCAAATGCATTATGCCATGGAAAGGAGCTGATTCAAAAGAGTCACATTGGGTTATTCCATGCATTTTATAGTTTGTAAAAGGCAAAATCAGAGGAGGGGAAAGCAGCATGGGAGGGTCTTGGGCAGGGCTGGAAGTGTGAGGACAAAGGGGAAGGATGAGGAATCTGAGTGGCGGAAGTATTCTGTGACTCAACCATGCAGTCACTATGGACTGAAGATGTCTGTCAAAACTTACAGAACTACAGTGTACACACTATACAGGGCGAACTTTACTGCAGGCAAATCATACTGTTACAGTTGAGCTAGTAACAGTCCAGGTTCTCCCTCGGTGGACATGGATTTTGTTGTTTTATTTTGTACTATCTTAGGGTAATGAAATCAGGAAAGACTGCTAAGTGCTCTTTAGGGTTAGATAGAGGGAAGGGAGTGACTCACTCAGCTCCTTTGTTTCTAACAGTACTAATACTACCACAAATCTCACTTTCAGACAGGCTGCAAATTTTATGATAATTTTCCAGGTGATGTTTATCTTTAGGCCCCTTCAACGTGGGCTCTGTGACTCCTCTAATTAAGAGACTATAACCAAAATCCTAATAAAGTAGCACTTTTCCCTTTAAGGGAGCAGAAGTAAGTGATGTCACTGAAGAGAAGATGGACAGTGATCAGTGACATAAAAAAAGTCCAGAAATCACTCACACATGCATCAAATGGTTTTTACTAAAAGCACAAAGAAAAGAGAATCTTTTCAACAAGTGGTGCTGGAAAAATTGGACATCCTTTCTGGGAATCTAAATGGCCATGAAGGAAGTCCAAGGATGCTGAGCCCACAGTGTTGGAAAGAAAATCTCCAGGAAGCCTCTGTGCCAACAGCAACATGGGCGGGGAGCCTCCCACCTCCCTCCCCAACTCATTGGCCTAGCTGGGGAAAAGAGCCACCCAGCTGAGACCTGAACAACTTTCTAACCCTGAAAACCATGGGACATGATAACATGGTTGTTACATTAGACCTCTAAGTTTCAGGATAGTT